CACACATTCATGCAAGTTCTTCATTATTTAGTTTTTATAAATATAATCCATGGTGATAATATTTGGTGGCAACAGTCTGAAATGTGAATCCCAGCAGAAAGTGAAACGACGTAAAATGCCGTTTTGAGACTAACATCCCTTTGGGTCTAACGCTTCTTTGGGATAATAAATTACATACTATACATTTGTAGTTTGCATAGATGGAAATTGGTATAAATGAAATAAATTTATCTGTACTTGATAAATGCTCTTCAATATATGCTATTGCTCGTAATATTGACGTAGGAATTTCTATATTATTTGAAACAGTTCTTTGTACTCAGTTCGGTTATAACACTTTATTCAATGTATTACAACTCGAACGCGAAATGAGCGAACGTTTCTCTTCTGCCAGTGGCAACGAGGAGTCGAAAAAGGAACTTGGAAGAGAGCGGTCGCTCACTCGGTTTCTCTTGACAGAATTTGATACGAAGGGGGGATAATCCCCATTTTCTGACTTGAAATTAATCTAATTATGTATACAGTCAAAAGTCGTTAATCCGGACTCGTCGGGACTTCGGCGATTCCGGATTATCGATTTTTCCGGATTACAGATCATCAGTTTAAATCTGGTAAGATGACATGCAGAAATTACAAAATTAAAAATATGAAACCGTAATTTATGAAATAAAGAACAATTATGATCTAAAGGGTATCAAAATTTACAAAAAAAAAAAAGCTTAATATTTATTTGTTTACTTTATTAAACATTTCTTTCAATGTAAGTTGTTTAAGTTGCTTCGTTTCATGTGATAATACTTTCTCTTTAATTCTATTAAACAGACATAATTTCTTGTTTAGTTACGAAGTTCCGCTGTTCAAGTCCTATAATTGCTTTAAATCATATCAAAGACGGAGTACATGACATGAAATACTACATTTAGTAAGGAATTATAAGCCAAATAAAATAAAAACATCTGCCGTGAAGATAAGGATAGTGCTGACAGATCAACTTCCAATTCATTACGCGCCACGGCGTTTTTCCCCCCCTCCCAGAGCAGCGTGAAATTGATAAACAGATTTCGGAACATACTTTCGCTTTGTAAATCCTTTACTATTAGTAAATATATATCGGAAATTCTATTTGACATAATCGAAAGTTCAAGCTTACTTTTATAAAGTTGCTCTAACAGTCTGCAAAAAATAATAAGCCGGATCCAATTCGAAGATTAAGGAACAACGCAATCTGCAACATTAACTGAATTAGATAATTTTAGCTTAGCTTCTTATACCGTCCGTTATATATTAAACGCGCATGTGCACACACCTATTTGCAGCGGTAAAGGTCTTACGTGCACGCATAAACGCCTATGCGCGTGCGTCAAAGCGACGCATGCGCAGAAAGTTTGTAGCTTTGAGGTCCGGATATCGGAAATTCTATTTGACATAATCGAAAGTTCAAGCTTACTTTCATAAAGTTGCTCTAACAGTCTGCAAAAAATAATAAGCCGGATCCAATTCGAAGATTAAGGAACAACGCAATCTGCAACATTAACTGAATTAGATAATTTTAGCTTAGCTTCTTATACCGTCCGTTATATATTAAACGCGCATGTGCACACACCTATTTGCAGCGGTAAAGGTCTTACGTGCACGCATAAACGCCTATGCGCGTGCGTAAAGCGACGCATGCGCAGAAAGTTTGTAGCTTTGAGGTCCGGATTATAGATCATTCCGGATTATGGGTGTCCGAATTAACGACTTTTGACTGTATATTGTAGTATAAAAGATGTGTGTAAATAAAAGTCATTAAGACTTAATTGAAGTAGTGATTTGAATCGAATATACAAATCGAAAGCTCTCCCAAATAGAACTATGGATTATAGATGTAACATATTTTAGTGGTGCCTTCACCAAGGGACTTTTGGATTAGAATTTCGAAGATTAGCAGATGGATTACCTGTAAACAGGTAAACAATTCCTTTTTCTTTGAAAATTTGGAAAAACCTGAGTTTCAATATTGTGATTAGTCAATTTTAAACATGGAAGCTTTAGACAAATTGAAGCAGAAACGTACGAATGATCGCAGTAGCGTTACGAAATTAATTACAAAAATAGAATCTTTGTTATCAGAAAATATCGAAAGCACAATCATTGAGGAATTGCAGGAGTTGAATGAAACTATTCTTGAAAGAGAAAACACGTTGAAAATGTTGAATTCACAAATCGAAACTAAGTTAATAGATGCTAAAGAATTTGAAAAAGATATTTCTGCAAGTGATAAATACAATGAACAAATTATGTCTGCAAAGTTTAGAATTAAAATAAGATTAAATAAATGTAATGAAAATTTTTCTGTGAAAAATGCATCAGATGCAAATTCTTTGAACACTTCCGTTTCTGAAATAAATGTATCGTCATCGATCGGCTATGAAATTGCCAAAGTTAAATATTCCAAAATTCTCAGGAGATGCAGGAAAATGGTTAGAATTTTTTAACAGTTTTCAAGCTGCGATTGATCAGAACAAAGCGTTAACCAAGATTGAAAAAATTCGTATACTTGAAATCATTATTATTGATAGGGCAAGCATATAATGTCGTTGAAGGATTTCAATTAACCGAACACAATTACGATTCATGTTTAGAACTTTTAAAAGAACGTTTTGGAAAACCAGAGAAGATTATAAAATCACATATGAATAATCTTTTGGACATAGAACCAGTTAAAAATTCTTCTAACTTAAATGCACTAAGAAGATTACACGACGCTTGTGAAATAAACATTCGAAGCTTAAGTAATTTAGGAGTAACTTCAGGTTCGTACGGACACTTGTTAAATCCGATATTATTGAAATTATTGCCTCATGATTTGATTCTCGAATATCACCGAAAGCGTGATCCAAAAGAGGAATCTGATGTTACAGGTTTAATTGCTTTTTTGAAAAACGAAATTGAATGCCGCGAACAAACGTACGCAGTTAACAAACCGGAACCGAAATTCGTTCCATTGAACGGAAAGAATAAACACTTCGGCAAGCACAAAAAAAAAAAAAAAAAAAAAAAAAATTATAAATACACAAACAATAAGTTTAACTCTAAAGTTAAGCCCTCGTTGGCAGAATTATTAGCTCCTGTAAAAGAAGGAAACTGTATTTTTTGCAAAAATAACACACATAATAGTGAAAAGTGTAATATGAGTGTAAATGAAAAACGAAATATACTGAGATTACAAGCTCGATGTTATGTTTGTCTGGCTCAAGGTCATCGAATTTTCTGATTGTTCTGAGAAAAACTCTTGTGTATACTGCCACAAAAAAACATAATGCAACCCTTTGTTACAAAAATGAGAAAAAACCCGAAGCATCGCAATCAAAAGGTGTAGAAAATTCAGCGTGCAATCACATTAGCATCGGTAGGAATAAAATATTTTTACAGACGGCGACAGTAGAAATTAAAAGTAGGTCACGCAATAAATTAGTTCGTTGTTTATTTGACAGCGCTAGTCAACGCTCGTATATTCAGAAACGTCTGTCTAAACAACTGGGATTAAAAGTCGTGGGAAGGGAAGAAATAATGATTCATACTTTCGGATCTCAAGTGCCTACCAAACAGAACTGTGCGCGAGTAGAAGTAAAGATAAAAACATTTTCGATAACGAGGAATTAATTATTCAGGTTTTAGAGGCTGATGAAATATCGAGTGCTAAGCTAGACTATCCTCCCGAAAATATTCGGGAGTTGTTAAAATATGGGGAATAATTTTAGCGGATGTTGATCACGAATCTTTAGATAACAACAACGTATCTTTACTCATTGGAGCTGATAATTATTGGAAATTAGTAAAAGACAAAATTGAACGTTTGAACTCAACATTAGTTACAATGGAAACCAAAATGGGTTGGATTTTAATGGGAAAATTGTTTGATCATACCGACGATAAGGAAAATGTACTAATGCCGTCGCAGTGACTTCTTTATTAATTCACACATCGAAGATTGAAAATTTGTGGAAATTAGATTTATTGGGATTCAAGACCCTGTTGAAACAAAATGTAGAAAGGAAATGGAAATTGCCGCATTGAATCATTTTAACGAAACTGTTACCTTTAAAGAGGGAAGATATGAGGTTCAGTTGCCTTGGGTAACAGAAAAGGACTGTTTAAGTCAAAATTTCGATATTGCTAGACAGCGTTTAAACAGTACGACACACCGGTTGATACAAAAGGGCAAATTCGAGGATTACGAAAATGTTTTCACAGATTGGTTAAATGAAGGAATTATAGAAGAAGTCCCTGAACACGAAATGAATAATCAGTGTCACTATTTACCACATAAAGGGTATTCAAAGAAACTTCGACCACGAAATTGCGACCGGTTTTTGATGCTTCCTGTAAAGACAAAAATTCGCGCTCACTTAATGATTGCCTAGAAAAGGGTCCAAATTTGCTGGAACAAATTATTATTCCTATAATTTTAAGATTTCGCAAGAATAGAATAGGAGTTATTTCAGACATAAGAAAGGCTTTTTTGCAAATGTCAGTGAATAAGAGTGATCGAGATTTCTTACGATTTTTATGGTGGAAAGACTTTGACAAGAAGGAACTTAGAGTTTTTAGACATAAACGCGTTGTTTTTTGGATTGAATTGCAGTCCCTTTTTATTGGCTGCTGTATTAAGCCATCACATTGATCTAAATTCGTCTAAATATCCTGAAACAGCGGAAAATTTAAAAGAATCATTCTACGTAGATAATTGCATTACATCTGTTCCTGATGAAGAGACACTTACGCGATTCATCGAGGAATCGAAACAGATATTAGATTCTGCGTCATTCGATTGAGAGGGTGGGAGCACACTTCTCTTTTGAAATCTGAAGGACAGTATAGAACCTACTCCTGTATTGGGAATTTTGTGGGATAAGGAAGATGATAGCCTTTTCTGTGAGGTGAAGACTGCTACTTACAAACCAGTGAATCTTACTAGAAGAAATATATTGTCTGCGGTACATCGCATTTTCGACCCCATGGGTTTTCTCTGCCCTATAACGCTAACACCTAAACTACTCATACAAAAGACATGGTTGTTAAAAATTGGTTGGGATACAAATATACCCGAAGACTTAGGAAAAGAGTTCTATTCGTGGATTGATGATTTGTCACTTTTATCCAGTATTAGAATTCCAAGGGCTTTAGATATAAATGGAAATGAAAGTCTTAGTCTTCATACGTTCTGTGACGCAAGTAAACAAGCCTATGGATGTGTGATTTATTTAAGAAAAGAAACAAGTGAAAATGTATCGGTGTATTTTCTTCTAGCTAAAAGTAGAGTGAGTCCATTAAGAAAAATGACCATAAATCGTCTAGAATTATTATTCCTGCTGTATAGGAGTCAGACTCGCAGCTCTTGCTTTACAAACACTCAAATTAGACAACGTTCCAAGGAACTATTGGACAGATTCGAGTACTGCTCTTTCTTGGATCCAAAGAGATGACCATTGGGCGCCATTTGTCGCAAATAGAGTAAAAGAGATACGAAAATTGTCATCGGAATCTGAATGGCGTCACATTCCAGGAAATTCGAATCCAGCAGATATACCATCACGAGGGTGTTCGATTAAGATTTTGTGAAATCTCGCTGGTGGCAAGGGCCAGAATGGCTTATGAAGAACGAAGAAGAGTGGCCAACTAGTGAAGTGATTACTAACGAAGAAGAAATTATGAAAGAAAAGCGAAAGAACATTATTTCGACTTAGTTTAATCGACTTAGGCTAATATCACCGCTGAAAAATGGTATCTGATTTACTTTTCAAGTTACTTTAAAATTGTGAGAATGATTTCTTGGATTCTAAGATTCATAAATAATTGTAGACATGGAGGAAGAAATTATGGCAAAACCCTGAGTGTTGAAGAATTGGACATTGCTGAGAAGAAATTAGTGAAGATCGTTCAACAAGAAGCATTCTCTAGTGAAGAGCAGTTGAAGGGACATTTTACTTTCATAGATGAAGAAGGAATTATAAGATTGAAGACGAAGATTTTGAGAAGACATGATGGTGAAAACTTTCGGTGCCCCATTGTACTTCCATTCAAACATGAATTAGTAGAAAGAATGATACATGACTACCATTTACAACTTTTAAATGCTGGTACTCAAGTTCTTTTGACCAATATTCGTCAAAAAATTTGGATAATAAGAGGAAGAAAAACAATACAAGGAGTCATATCGAAATGCGTTCGGTGCAAGAGACACTCGGCGAAAGCTCTTGATACAGTGCCTTGTCCTCTCCCAGAAAATCGAGTCAGAGATGCTTATGCATTTGAGGTGACAGGTGTTGATGTAGCAGGACCACTTTATTTAAAAGAAAATAGAAAAATATATCTTGCTTTTTACTTGTGGAGTTTATCGTGCGGTTCATTTAGAATTAATTGAAAGCTTATCAACTAATGGATTCTTCCTCGGATTTAGAAGATTTATAGCACGAAGAGGACGGTCCTAGAGTAGTACACAGCGATAATGGCACAAATTTTGTAGGGGCAAGGAATTTGCTCCGATCTGTTGACTGGAACCAAATTATCAGAAGTTCTTCGATAATGAAAATTCAGTGGAAGTTAAATCCACCAACCGCAGCATGGTGGGGCGGCTGGTGGGAGAGACTGGTTCAGATATCAAGAAATTATTGAGAAGTGTCCTGGGAAAAGCATTACTTTTATATGAAGAAATGTTAACTACCTGTGTCATGCAGAAGCAAATATCAACGCCAGACCATTAACATTATGAGTCAGAAGATTCCACCGATTTATATGCATTCACTCCATCTATGTTTATTCAGGATGTGCGAACTGAAGGTGTTCCGGATCTGGACAGTTTGGATAAAATCAACTTATCGAAAAGATGGCGATACCACCAAAAGTTACGTGTGGTAATTCGTAAAAGATTTAGAGATGAATATCTTGATATGTTAGTACATCGACCAAAGACTGTACCTTCGCGAACCATCAAGAAAGGTGATTTAGTGTTTGTAGAGGACGATAAAAGGAAAAGAACAGACTGGCCTATGGGTCGTGTGATCAAAACATACCCAGGAAAAGAGAACAACATCAGAGTGGTGAACTGTTAAGACCAGTTCAAAGAGTATTTCCAATGGAGATAGACAATAAAGAATCTATCTTCGAACTTAAAACTACTGAATCATCTACATCTTCGAGAAATACTGGTAAATTGAATGATTTAGTAATTGATACCAAAAATAGTGAACTTGAAAATTCTGATAAAAACATTCAGTTTAGTAGATATGGCAGAAAAATTATAAAACCAAAGAACTTTAATTAGTTTAACTTTGTTTTCAGTACCACTATTATTTGTTTTCTTTATTCCTTTCTTTGAATTTAATTTTTGTATACAATTTGATTTTCCAGTTTAGTGAATTAATCTCTTTACTAGTATTTTTCAGAAAAGAATTTTTTGCCTGTTGTTTAAAGAATGTAAGTTTGCAGAATATTAAGTAAGTTTAAAATATTCAAGATATTTGTTACGCCTAGATAAAACTGTTGATTTTGGTAAGATTTAAATTACTCATATTCGTATTTCAATTTTCATTTCACAATTGTTTTGATTTTTTCATACTTTGTCAAAAATCAAAAGGTGGGAGAAATGTTACAACTCGACGCGAAATGAGCGAAAGTTTCTCTTCTGCCAGTGGCAACGTGGAGTCGAAAAAGGAATTTGGAAGAGAACGGTTGCTCACTCGGTTTCTCTTGATAGAATTTGATACGAAGGGGGGATAATCCCCATCTTCTGATTTGAAATTAATCTCTAATTATGTATATATTGTAATATAAAAGATGTGTGTAAATAAAAGTCATTAAGACTTAATTGAAGTAGTGATTTGAATCGAACATACAAATCGAAAGCTCTCCCAAATAAAACTATGGATTATAGATATAACACAATGCATTGACAATATAGCAATTCCTATGCATTGCTCCGTTTAATCTATGAAATATTCTGTCCAATAATGCAGCCATTAATTAAATCATGCAGCCTAAAATAGATTAATATTCTTAATGATATAACAGCTATATTTTAGCTCTCATTCAAATGTTTGATATAATCAGAAGTTAATTTTTGTACAGAATTCAAATCTGAAAATTCTAGATAAATAAATCATGGAATATTTTCTAAGCCTACTTTTTCTATTTTTTAATTAAATCTTCTTCATTCTGTAATTTGTTGTTGTTATTGTGTTGTCCGTATTACATGAAACAATGGTTGCGAAACCCTACTCCGACGAGAGGATGGACTTCTATTTTCCACCCCCAATTCTGAGGAAGAGCAGCCCGGAGGGAATCGGGGGGATCTCCCACCCCTCTCCTCTGGGGGCGCCCAGCACGTTCATCATAATTGAATGGTTACCCAGTGGTCAGACTGTTAATCAACACTAGTACATTGAAGTACTAAAAATACTTCGTGAAAATAAACTCCACAGTTGTGGAGTGATGGATGGCTGTTGCTCCAGGACCCGCTCACATGGCCCTATCTATCCAGCAGTTTCTGACCAGCAAAAACATTACTGTGATGGAGCATCCTCCTTATTCACCTGATTTGGCTCCATGTGACTTTATACTGTCCCTTACCCCTCAAAACCGCTTATGCCATTCAAACACACGTGCATGAGACAAAGCTTCATCTCCATAAGCCTCGGTTAACATTTGAAACGTTTCCTCCGCTGCCGATTTCTTAGATTTCACAAGAAACTTGATTCGCTGCTCGGTTTTTACATTAGACATTTATTTCGGCAAAACGCAGTTACACGTGCTCACTCAATGACGCAGTACTCCTTACTGGCGGGGTTGGTTAAGTCGAAACTGGCCGCATGGATAGAGAAGGCGTGTGGCATGACGTCACCAAAACAGTCTTTACCAACTATACTCTGTGTTCAAGCTACACACTTAGCCTTTTTTTTTTTTTTTTTTTTTTTTTTTTTTTTTGTCGTCACACCTTAAGAGACTGAGCTACTTGTCTTTTACGAAAGATAATTTGTTACTGAATACGGAAGACCACTCATTCCTTTTCCTAAAAAAATCACCGAATCTTCCATTTGAAATTGGTAATATGTGTTAAGTTTTCGCGAATGCTTCGTTTTAAGAACCAGAAAAACATTTCCCAGGAATTATATTATTTTTTCCCTTTCCAAACTAATATCCAACTCTATACATATATATTGCCAGACGAACGGTCTAATTTAGTAACTATTTCTGACATCTACGTCTGCTATGAAAGCTAAGAAAATGAAGGAAGGACAAAGGATCAAAGGGAAGCGTCAAGCGCAAAGGCGGTGGCGAGAATCGGATTATTTACACAATCACCTCATCACCCACCACCGTCCGTCCAAGCGAGAAGAGTTATATTCCCTCAAGCGGAAGAGAATTCGGCATCGAATCAAAGAAACGGAAGAAAACGTGAATTGAGATTGGAGCACGGAGTACGTTTGCTTTGTTCCCTAATGACAAGCAATCTTTACTCTTGTAGTTTTTGGGTGTAGAGTAATATTTATTGAGGCTGAGAGGCGCTCAATTTCCTCAAATAGCGATATTTTCTTACTGAAACGTCCGAATTTGTTATCGGACGCGTGTATGACGATTAGAAGAACTGAAAAGACTGTGCTCCGTTGATGCAGATTCTGAATTTCGTTCAAGTTGAAAAACAGTGTCACTTATGCGTAAAAAAGTGGCTTTTTAAAAGAACACTTTATAAAACAATAAAATAAATTAAAAAAAACACCTTTATCTAAAGAAAAAAATTTGAAAGGTGATTTTGAATTGTGTCCAAAAACGCGTTTTTTTTTTAACGTTTTTTGTGTCACATTTATTTATTAAATATCACGTTCTTCGCACTCAAACCATAAAATTCAGTTCAAGAGCAATATCGCAAAATAGTTTTAAATTGGCGTATCTTTAGAATTTCCGATACAGAATCTCGCGCTGGAGATAAAAATGCTTTTTCTGTACAACTTTGCCATGACTCGCATTGAAATCCTTGAGTTCCCTCAGGGATAAAACAACTTTGAACTAAAAAAACATTTTTATCTCCGGCGCGCGAGACTGTGTATCGGAAATTCTAAAGGTAGGCTCAATTTAAAATTATTTGCTCTTGAACTGAATTTTATGGTTTTGCAGAGATATTAGTTAATTTTGGAAGGGTGCAAGATGAAAAATGAGCAACGCCTTCGCCGGGAATCGAACCACGGACCTCTAGAACACCGGCTCAGTGTGCAGACCACCACACCACGAAGGCTTGTTAAGAAAGTGAGAGACATACCTTATATACTCCCCCTTTAAAAGGGCGATTGGCGATTTTAGGGGACCCAATCGCCAAATCCTGATGGTGCAGAATCGTCATCCACTACCCTTTTAGTTCGGGCGCCACTGTAGAGACATTAAGTACTTCTGGAAGCAAGCATGATGAAAAATGAGCAAAGCCTTTGCTGGGAAT